TGCGGAAGGGGCGCGGTCGTGAGGGCGCCGGGGCGAGGCCCCCTCCCCGCAGGCCGGCTCACCCTCCGCCCGCAGCTGCTCCCGGCTGCGCTCCAGGGCGCGGATCTCGCGGGCCAGTCGCTGCTCCAGCACCTGCGAGGGCAGAGGAGGCCTGTCCGCCCGCCCGACAGTCCGGACCTTGTCTCGGCCGCTCGCTCGCTCAGCTACGAACTCGGCGCGCAGGGCCCGCAGACTCCGGTCCCGCGCCGCTCCGCACCCCCGCCTCGCCCCCTGCCGGCCGTTCCGAGAACGCGCCCGCACACGTCGCCCGGGCCTCAGCCGTCCCCTTCCCTTCTGCGCCGAGCGCCTGCACCGCACCTGGCGGCCTCTTCCCCACCTCCCTCTCTGTCTTCACGGGTCACCTGCGCCGTGGCCTTCCCCAGATGACGCGCTCTGCCTGACTTTCCTGGCTACGGTCTGCCCCAAGCTAGCCTCCCCCTGCCAGCTTGGGGTAGAAGACGGCTGCCTCGCCCTGCCCGGAATGCGGCCCGAGGCGCCCTCCACCGGGTTCTGAGGCTCTCTAGGGGTTCCCGCCTGCCACTGCCAGGTGACCTCTCCAGGACCCCGGAGGAAGCGGGCTCTGCCATGCTACTGCCACATAAGCGAGCGACGGGGGTGTGGCAGCGGGGCATGGTGCACAGCGGGCAGCCTGAAGGCGAGCGGGCAGGGGGACGGGCAGGAGTCAAGGACTGTGCAGAGGCCTGGCAGGGCTGTGGGCCCTGGGCGGGTGGGCAGACTGTGAGGTCAGGAGAGGAGTGCCTTGGTGGAGGGCGGTGGCGGTGGCTCACACTGAACTCCCAGAGGTCCTTGTGCCGGACCACTAGATCCTTCAGCTGCTCTCCCGCAGCCAACCTGGGGGCCGACAGCAGGGACACAGATCACACGCCAAGGCCCACCCAGCCGCACAGGCCTTCAGGTCCTGGCCGCTGGGGAGAGGATGCTTCCGTAGCGAGACGAGGAGTGCGGGAGAAATAACGGAAGAAATGGAGAAATAATAAAAGGCTCACTGGGGGGACAGGCAGATGCCTGGGTGTGTGGGTGGTGAAGAAATGCATGGCTGGGTGGAGAGACGGCTGGGGAGACGGAGAGAGGATGAATGCATGGTCGGATGCAGGAGAAGCGATCACCTAACTGGATGACCTCGTGGGACAGACACATGGATCGGTGAAGTAAGGCATAGGTAAGAGGGTGTGTGCGTGGACGGGCAGGCGGGTGGATGAGCACACACAAGCCGATGAATGGATGGCAGAGGCTGGGTAGCTGATGGGAAAGACTTAGAGTAGCACCCGTGGATGGAATTCGTTTAATAAAGTGACGCGTGACTACACTGCCGAGTTCATCTCACCACCACCTAAGAACGGACGATGGGGGAGTCCTGCCTGGATGCTGCGTTTTAAGGGAAGGGAAATGAGGAGGGCCTATCTGAGATTCACGACGCCGGCTCTTGTTCCCTCCCCTCGGGCTGGGGGAAGAGGTGGGGCTGGGGGAAGAGGTGGGGACGTGGGGCGGGACTCTTACCTGGGAGCCTCACTTTCTCGGGCTTGGCAGTGTTGCTGGAGGATCATCAGCGCCTCTGTGGAGAGAGGAAGCTGGATGGCGCTGCCTGGGGGCGCGCTTGGGGAGAGGGGGCTGGGCGGAGGGAAGGCCCCCCTCCCCGCAGAGGACTGAGGTGTGTCCTGAAGCGAGGAGGGCACTGAGAGAGAGCTCTGAGCAGCGGGAGCACCCGAGGGAGCCCGGGTTTCCGCGGGACTCCTCTGGCTTCTCTGGGGAATAGAAGTGTGTGCGGCAGGCGTGGAATAAGGAAGACAGTGTAGCGATGGATACCTTGCTTTTTGTTCAAGACCTCCTCGAGGTGTACTTTCTCCACATTCACTGGAAAGCACAAGGGCGCTTTTAGCCGCAGGGCCACATCCCACGTTCCCACTGCAACTTCATGCAAGAGGAACATCACAGGGCCCCAGAGGAGGTGCCACCCTGCCCCATCTCCCCGGGGACCCTCCCATCCGGCTTCGCCCCCTCCGTGCCCGCCGTCCCCGTAAGTGCCAGAAGGTGAGGCCAGAAAGAAAGTGCAGAGTTCACAATGAGGGAAGCGAGGACTAACAAGTATCAAGTCAGGCAGGAATAAGGGCTTTGAAGGAGACCTCAGGCATAGAATGAGAGGGCAAGGAGAGGAAACCCTCAGAGCAGGCCTGTCAGGGCTATGTGAGCTGAGAGCCGAAGGATGACATGATGTAGCAAAAGGTCCTCTAGATTACATGGGCTCAGAGCATCGTAGACAGGGAGCAGCCGGTGCAAAGGCCCTGAGGCAGGTGCAAAAATATCAGCAGTGATCAAAGGTTCTCTAAGTTGGTCCTCCGGCCTCACTTACAGGAGTCTAATTCCCTATTCAGGGCCTCCCAGAGAGCTTGGGTCTCTCCCAGTTCCTTGCTGGATTTCTCCTTTGCTAGGCCAAGGAAGAGAAGACATTGTGTTAGTACGTCGCTCTTTTCCCACCAACAAAATCATGGCACACTCATCTTCAACCTGCCTCCCAGGGGGACAGGGTTCTTTAGATAAAGTGGAGGCATTCAAAGTCCAGGCCCTTTGTGCTGGCCCCAGCTGGCCGGAGTTACCTTGCTGAAGCTCACTAATCCGGTGAATCAGGTCCTCGATCTGTGGCTCCAGGGTCCCCTCTGAAGAAAGAAAGAAGGATTGAGCCAGAGAAGGCAGATGCCTGGCTGCCCATGGAGGTAGAGGGGGGTGGGTGCCAGGGCTCTGCTGCCTGTCCATCAACAGGCATCCCCTGAGCACCCGCAGTGTGCTGGGATCTGCAGAGGCCTTCGCAGGGCTCGCTGGGTGGGGGCGGAGGATGCTGACCAGAGACACAGGAAGCCACCTGGGTGGCGGGATCTGCTGTGAGGGGGAATACTATGTGGGAGAATAAAAGGTAACAGGTGCTTTGCTTCTTGAGAGAAGGAAGGACTCCAAATCAAGCGAGGGAAGCCGGCCCTGTGGCCTCTGGGGGTAGGCAAGGGCTGGTCTGGCTGGACTCTAGCAGGAAGGTGAGGAGGACCAGGGAACACTGGAAAGGCAGTTGACTTCAAGCCTCTAGCGTCACTGTGGAGGCTTACAGGTAGAATTCCTCGGGTGGCGGAGGCCAGGGCAGACCTCCCACCTGCCCTACCTTGCTAAAAGTGCCAGTTGCCACTTCTATCAATGTGGACTCTGGCGCTGGTCTCAATTGAGAAAGGAGGGAGACACTGCTTTTCTGTTGTCCTGGCAGCTTGCAAGTTTCCCGGTGACAGGGAGATCACTGCCCCTAGTTAGGGAGCCGCCTCTGACTTCACACAGAGCCTGTTTCAGTGCTGTGCAGGGAAAGGCCTCCCCTTCCTCCCTCTTGGGCACTAAGGACGGCGACACAGAGCTGGGGCATCAGGCTGTCCTTCCCCTGCAGGGTCCTGCTGCCGCCTATCAGTCGTCTAGAGTTGCTAAACTCAGGCCTCAGATTTTCTGAGGTCAGCAGCTCCAGCTCCTATCACTTCCAAAAGAGTGCTCTCCACAGAGCTGCTCGAATGAACAAAGCTCCCTGGGGAAGAGCGGGATTTTCGTTTTACTGAAGATGGTCAGGTCACCCATGCATTTTCAGTCCCTATGCATTTCCACTCCTGCAGTTTCTCTACATAGATGTAGTCGAGACAGCAGCCCCCGTGCACCTGTGCATGCAGCCAGAGTAGGGGCCACAGGGTTCTCTCATGTTGGGGGCAGACTGATGGGGGGTAGCACGTGAAGCTGAGACTAAGCAGGGGTCTAACTTCAAACCCAACCAGCACTCTGCTCCAGCTCTGACGTGGGTACTGGATGCAAGCTCGTTCCCAGGTTCTTCTCAACAAGCAAAGTATGGGCAGAGCAGCCCGCGCTATTTGCACATAAAAGGGCAAGACAAACAGTATATGCCAATGAGTACATTTTTTAAAAAGATACTTAAGAATGCTAAAACAGCCGCTGCTGGCCCATGGGTCACGGAAGTGGCCGGTGTGTGTGTGTGTGTGTGTGTGCGTGCGTGTGTGTGCATGCACGCTCAGGGCAGGTTTTTCTATCCTCTTAGGCTCCCTGACATTTAAACAATGGCGATGTATTTGGGGGCTCAAACATTTAAATGATATAAGAGGGCGGAAGTGCAATGAGATGATTTGCCAATATTGTGAGTCGAGGGGTCTGAGTTTGACCCCCTTCTGTAGGACTCAAAACCCTGCCCGAGGCTCAGACACAAGATACATGACCTCTCTGCAGCTTTTTCACCATTGCCAGCAAGTCTTCAGGGTTCTTCAAAAATCTGGCCCGACCTGTGGAGATGAAAACCAGAATGAAGGGGACCAGTGAGAGTGAGGAGAGGCCCAGGCCCATCCGGAGAGGGACGGGGAAGTCCCTGTGGCTGTGCAGCCCGCCCTGGGCTGGAGCCGAAGCTGCGCTGACGGCCAGGTTTCCAGCCAGTGCAGCACCTGTGCAGGACCCCGCTCCTATGTCCCTGAGGCTGTTGGTGCATGAATCAGGGTGTCTACTGATCAGCTGCTCCGGGAGGTTTCAAAAGAAACCGCAGATATCACCCTGATGGGTCTTGGTGAGGGACAGGTATAGTCTGGCTACTGCTGCTCTTCAATAAAATGCGGCTGGGTGGACACATTTCATTAAAACCGTTACTGCCCATAATGTGCAAATTCTGATGCGTTAATGAATCTAGGGAATGCTTATTCCTGGCTTCATGCATTTTAAAAATGACAAGTGCACATTACAAGACTTCTGATGGAAGAATGTAACCCTGTTTCGGAAGGATTTGTTTTCCAAAAAGGTCTACAAAACTAGAGAAATCAAAATAAAAAATACCGACTTCCCTATTTTAATAGTAACTCAGAGAAAACACACAGAGCAGGTGACTGCCAGCGGAGATGTGACCTGCATCATGCAGACCGGGAAACCCCACAGGGAAAACAATTGCAAAAAAGAATGAGGGGGAGGGAAGACCTATATTAAAAAAGATTCAAGGCATATATCCACCAAGGGCAATGGATAAACCTCATCTGATCCTCACAGATGTGCTTCTCATCATATATACTTCTGTATATTTTTATTTTGAGTCTTTGCTACTTTAAAATTCAACAACAAAACAGCAAAATATTTGTATGTTATAAACATCTTAAACTCTTTAAAACAATGATAAAAAGTCAAATTCCAGTGACCTGGGCATCTCCAAGGAAAATTAGGCAGTGAAAACTGACAGCCCAAAAGTTGGAAGGAGCAGGAAGGGATGGAAGGATAGGGGATGAAGAGATGAGTTAAATAAGACGTGTTCTGCACACGTACCAACTCCCAGTGATAAATGTAATCATTACGTCCTGCAAACATGTACTAACAGAAAGTAAATACATAGAACAACAGCTCATGAACATACAGTAGCTACAGAGAGACTGCAGAAATGCTTACCCACCAGGGTACACCCTGAAACGTCCCTCACCCACGGACTTGAAGCTTCCCAATTCCCCTCCTCAGAGATCAGTTACAAGCTATGTAATTCATATATAAGCATAGTTTCCATTTTCTGTGTAAATGGTAGTGTATCATAGTTATGTTTCACATCTTGCGTTCTTCATTTGACAATTCGCACAGCTGCATGGTGTTTTTCCGTTTACTTAAGAGCCATCTCCTACTTTTGAACACTTGGGTTCTTTCCCTTCTTTTGCTGTTACAAACAATGCCACTATGACAATCTGTATTCATTTTCTCATCTGCGGTACAGATGGAGTCTTCTGTGTGTCTGTCACCACACACCCTTCTCTTTGGGGGTCCATACTTTTTGCTATCTAAGGACACCAGTTCTTGAGTTATGGCCCACCATAATCCAGAATGACCTCATCTTAAACTGCCTTATTTTCAAATAAGGCCGTATTTTGAGGTTCTAGTGGACATACATTTGAGGAGGGACACAATTTCAGCTGGTGCATCATACTTGCACTTTCTTCTTTGTGCTTGTGTCAGAGTATATCTGCTCCACACATCCAGCATGCTGCCCAAGCCATGTGCTGCATCAGAGGGGAGGTCTATTGTCAAATTTGGCTGATAGCATGAAATTGTCTTTCATCTTTTTCAGGCCCACAAGAAACATTTCTTTTTTGTTTGTTTGTTTGTTTTCTGGTACTGGGAATTGAACTCACGACCTTACGCCTGCCAGGCAGGTGCTGTGCCGTTGAGCTAAATCCCCAGCCCCAAAGAAACCTTTCTAAATCTTATTAGCCAAGCTATGTTTTTTTGTATGTTTGTTTGTTTTCCATCTTTTTGAGACAAGGTCTTGCTATGTAGTTCAGGCTGGTCTTGAACTCACTATGTAGCCCAGGCTGGCCTCAAACTCATGGCGATCCTCCTGCCTCAGCCTCCCAAGTGCTGGGATTACAGGTGTGTGCCACCACGCCCGGCAGCCAAGTTATGTTCTTAATCGTTCTCAGTTTTTGCCAATCTGATAGGCAGAGAATAGTTTCATTCCAAACTTTCTGGCAGTAAATATCAAATTATCCTCATCTCTTCTGGCTCAGAAATTCCATTCTTAGGAAAGCATCCTAAAGGAGTAGTTATGGATGGTGGGCAACTGGTCATTGTTTCATCATTTGCAATCTTAAAATGTGGACGTAACCTGCATATATCTTAGGGGATTATTTGCAGCACATTTGGAAGATGGAATTCTTTACAGCCATTAAAATGATATAGTAAGTTATTTTTAACCTGAGCTTATTAAATTTTGTTGAAATGTCTGGTGACATCTTTTCTACACCTTTTTGCCTGGCCAGAAGTCTTTCATAAATTACTATGCATTAGTTTAATTTTGCATTTTAATTTTCTAGTTACCTAGATTATAAACACATGCAGAATATAGGAATAAAAATAAAAGTGTCCTGACACCAACAGCCCCTTCTCCAAGTCAGTCCCCTTTCCAGAGCCACTGCCAGTTTACTGACAGCATTCAAATCTTATAATAGCACATACTACTTTAATTCTTATTTTCTTACCCATGTAATATTCAAGAATTTTACATGCTACAAAAATACATGAAGTTATAAATAAAAAATTCCCCTTCTCTCCTGGGGCCTAAATCTTGCTGTTCAGATAAAATCACCACCAGCAGGGTTTTTCCTCTTGAGACATTTTAATTCTGAAGACATTTTTCATGTTTGGAAGTGAAAAAAAAAACACTTTAGTAAGTAGATGGAGAGGTGTTTTTGATTTAATATTGCATGAAACGTTTCAAAGGGACATGAAAGGATATATGAAGTCATACCATACTCAACTCCAATGTACTAATGACCGAGATCTAACAGTTGTTAATATTCATCCATATTTGCTTCAGTTGTTTTTATTGTGTTAAAATAGCTTTAAGCAAGCCTTGACAGCCTCCTTGACATTTCACTTCTACTACTTCACTGAGTCCCAACTACTTAAGGACATTTTCCAGTGACCCAACTCCTACCCGATGACATGAATGGTCACCCTGTAATATTACCGACACTCAGACCGAATGTAATTTTTGATTGTCCCCACATCTTTTACAGTTGGCTTCACATCCGTTACAGTTGGCTTCACATCTTTTACAGTTGGCTTCACATCCGTTACAGTTGGCTTCACATCTTTTACAGTTGGCTTTTGCAACTTTCTGCAAAAGGTCCATGTGTATTCTTCCTCTCCACTTCTTTGCTAGACTTAGTCATAAGATAAAGCCGAGAGCTATTGATAAGTACATCTTTTAGACAATCTAACATCTTGATAAAAATAATTTTTAAATTCCATGTTACAAGAGAAGAGTCTGCAGAGGGAGTCCCCTTTCAGATATTTTATTTTGAAATAATTTCAGATGTACACAAAAGTTGTAGAACTAGGCCACCATGCTTCCACTTGACCTTGTATCACATTCCCTATCTTAGCTTCTGCACTGTAAGTTGCAGATGTTATGGTCCAATGTTCCTTAATATTCTAGTGTGTATTTCCTATATACAGAGGAAATCTGCATAGTAACCACAGTATAACCATGAAACTCTGGATATTAATCCTGATCCAATACTAATATATGATCCTCAGCTGCCAAATTTTTCCCTCTTCCCTTTTATATTTTAAAATACATAGTACTACTTAAATTTTCCCAAAAGAAAAAAATCACACAAATGCCTCCACCTCTGCATCACCCCCAAAATTTGAGTTCCTTATCCAGTTATCGGGTAAGCTATTAACTTTCAGCTCTTTGTCTGTTTAACACAGAAAGCAATACACACTCTCCATTCTTTCTGTTTCAGTCCCAACGGGCTCTCACGGCTTTTTTTTTTGGGGGGGGGAGCTCTGTATCAATGGAAGATCTTTTATTTTTTTCATTTTTTTGAGACAGAATCTCACCATGTAGTTCAGGCTGACCTTGAACTCATTATGTAGCCTAGGCTGGCCTCAAACTCACAGCAGTCCTCCTACTTCAGCCTCCCAAGTGCTGGGATCATAGACATTTGACATCCACACCTGGGTGAATAATGATCTTATCCATTAATACTTACTTTTATCTGCCTCTCAGATATAAAAAAAAAATCCACCCCCACTCAGGCTCTCCAGTGTGCATGGACATACAGATTTAGCCATTTCTATGATTATTCCTTGTATTTCGCCTCCGTTAACACTCCAGTGATCACTTCTAGCCCATGCAACTATGTACTTTCCTATAATTGCTTAGCATGGTGACTACAGATGTGGAAGGCATTTTAGATCCTGCAAATACTCTTCCAAATTGCCCACAGCAAAACCCTTACTGGTCAGTTCTCCTCCTGCTGAGGCAAGAGAAGGTAGGTATTGCCTCAGAATCATCAGTGCTAGATATTATCCCCTCCTTTATATAAAGCTAATGTGAAGGGTTAGAAATCCCACCGCAATGTTTTCCAATATTCTCCATTGCTGCAGATAATCATAAATTCAATTTTGAGGAAATGTGAAAGGTAGTGATAGTTCTTTATTTAAATCACAGTGGCAGCTATATTATATACTTAATGTATCTGTCTAATTTTTTTTTTTTTGAAAGTAGAACTCTCTACCAGCAGCTCTAAGACAACACTCTAGATTCAAGTTCTTTCATTATTCACACATCAAAAATTACTGACCACCATCTATGTGCCAAACAGGCATTGCTTTAGGTATTGGGGAGACCGCAGTAAACAGTCTTTGTTCTCATGGAGCTCACATCGTCGGACAGATAATAGACAATCACTTTGATGTCTGCACGTAAGTGTGACAAGATGTAATCTCAATGTGTTTATTATTATACTGATTTAAAGAGTGCAGGAAGGGAACAGATAAATGAAGGGTAGGAAACCGAATCTCTGTTGAGTCAGAGTGACAGGTACATGGATATTCCTCATGCTGTTTTCTCTACTTGGCTGTATTTTGAAAATCTCTAAAAAGAAATTGCTAGAGGCATACTAGTGGATTATTACCTTGGGGACACCCCTCCCCGCTGCGGGTCTACAATTTCTAATAGTTTCTAGGCTGACTTACCACCACCACCACCACCCCAGCTCCAACCTGGGGGATCAACTGTCATCATCAAACAAGTCACACGAGAACAAATGTTTGAGGGGAAAGCCATTCTCGATTAAGAATCCAGATAGTGTCATCTAGGTTGGCTGTGAAATGCTGATACTGGGAAATCAGCTAATTTTCTAAGGCGTGCCAGCAGCAAAAAAAATTTTTTAATGCCTTGCCGCGTTTCATTTGAAGAGATTCGTATGCATTATTTGTTGGTTACTTAAAAATAACTGAACAATTCAATAAAATTGACAAAAGTTAACCTAGGTGATGAGAATGTGCATGTTATTTATTTCCACTTTGTGGAACAGTTAAAAGTTTCGATAATAAAAGGCTTAAAATTTTACTTCTTTTTCAAAAAGCTACTGCTGTCATCGTCGTGTTATTGTAATGGTCGAATCCTCCCTCCCTTCAGTCCCTGGTGGGAAAGAAGGCTGACCACCAGCCCTCGCTACCTTCACCGTCCTCCATGGCTTCTGATGACTCCTCCGTCAAACGCTCCACGTTCTCCGCCATTTTCCAACGCGAGTCTTCCTGTAGCGTCTTGGACGATGATTGGTTTAAAAAAAAAAGAAAAAAAAAAAAAACTCACCCAGACGAGTGCGCATGCGCACTAAACAACGTCATACCATTAGTTCACCAAGCTTGGGAATTGCCTATCTACTGAGCATGCGCAGAATATCTGCGCTCCCTCCCGCACCCAGCTACCCCCAGCATACATGCGTATACCCACCAGGCCATAACTGGTTTTAGACGAACACGAGCAGTACCAGGTTACTGGGCAGTTGGGGAATGAGGTTGTACACACATGCAAACTCTCAGGAGATCTCTCCTTTATATAGATTGCTTGTGTTGTTGCAGGTTGCCAGGGCCTGGGGGACATGTGCATATGATATGTAGTGGTACATGAGTTTGAATCCCTTTCTAGTTCGTAAATCTTCATTAAAGAGCCCATGTGAGTTACTTGTTTGATGGATAAATAAGATGAGCTTTAGAAGCAAATTACACCTCCTTTCTCAGCCAGTGTGCGAGAACTTAGGTAGCGCAGATCCTGCATTACACAGGTGGCTACTGGAGGCCACTTTCTCATTAATACCAGAAGTAGCCATCATTAAAAGGGCTCGTTTTTTGGCAGAGTTTAGATAAAGAATAAAGGAATATTCTTGTGGGGCTTCGTTTTAGGCTTTTTATGTAGATTTCCTTTTTCTAAATACCTTCAGGCTGGTTTGGGGCACAGGTTGACCCACGTTCCCAATTCACCCGACACCTGGCCAGCCCTGCACATTCAGGGCTCGGTCCAACGGGAAAGAGACTTTGAAGCAGGTTTAGAGGGGCTGCCCCTGACGGAGGCTGGATCATCATCCACAGTGAGGAGGTGAGGCAGAGGGAGGAGACCTAGGACTTTCTCTAGAGGTGGTGGTGCATGATGGGACTAGAAGGGCACACTGTGCCCCTGGCTGCCGCCAGCCATCTCCCATTTTGGGCAGCTTTCATATGCTGCCCAACTGCTCAGGGAGACAGGTACCAGCCACTGACAGATGCCCACGTTTTTGGTGTGGAGACAGAAGGCAGAAGCCAAGGGGGTCACTCCCAGCAGTCTGAGCTCTACCATTCAGAGTCCAGTGAACAAGCCATTGTGGGGAGCCTGGTCCGCAGAGGTGGCTGGGGGTGTGGAGTACTTGGGTGGGCAACGGATGAAGAGTCGGTCCTCCTCTTTCTTCACCCAGCGCAGGAGTTTGGTCACTACCAAAATGGCACCTGCTTTGGTCACCAGGGGGCTGAGGCAGGTATAGAGCTCGAATTTGGAGGTCACCTAGGGGTTTGGGAAAAGACAGAGTCAGGTCAGAGCTGAACAAGGACCATCCTGTCTACCCTAACCCAGCCCCACGTTTGCCTCCTGCAGCCTGGAAGATGTACCTGGCGGCCATGCCCATTTGGTGCTGCTTCAACACTAGGCTGTGACAGGTAAGCTGATATTTTTGGGTCACTGATGGGCCAGGGGTTCTCAGCTGGGCCTAGAGGTTAACCAAACCCACTGGCTTCAGCTGGGTGATAGAGCCTGTTTGTGTGTGGTTTCTGTTGGGCCTTCAGTTTATCTGTGGACTGGGGATAAAAATAACAATGCTTAATGTTTAGTAAGCGATCACAGTGGTGCCTCGGTTCACAAACTTAATCCTTTCCATGATTCTGGTTGCAAACCTAATTGGACAAGAACAAAATCAAATTTTCCCACAAGGTCAAGCCTGAACCTAACCCCTGAATTTGGTTCAGCGCATTTGCTTCACTGAATTCGGTTCTCATCCCATTCGCTTTGCGACCAGAATTGTGGCAAGAATTAAACTTGTAAACTGAGAGGCACCCTTGTTCTCTATAAATAAAGGTCCTGTTCTGAGCACCACAGGGCTATTTTCATCATTCACAGCCTGGCCAGAGTATAAAGAAGACTCAATTTAAATCCTCATGCCAACCTGAGAGATGTGACCCCACCCTCCATGGTCACCAGTCACTTGAGGTGCTACTTTCCACTGCTCTCTCTTTGGTTCCCTCTGTTCTTTCTTTGCTGTTCCTCAACCACAGCTTGGCTCAGCCCCACATCACTGCATCTGCAGAGTCCCTCCCTTCCGCTAGGGGTGTTCTCTTCCAGACACCGACATGGCTCACTACCTCTCTCTCCATTTAGAGGCTATCTCAGGAAGGCCTCCACTGACCACCTGATTTCAAATCCTGGGCCTACTGGATGTTGGTTTTTAAATGCCAGTCTCCACTAAAAGGCACAAAGACTCTAGCATCAACACAGAGAAAGTCAGGTGAGCAGCATTTACAAAACGATGGGACATGTCAGACACACAGGGACCAGCCTGGCTACCTGAGGGCTCCCACTGGCTCCATCAGAGACAACTGCAGAACCAAAATAAATGTTAGAAGAACACTGTAGCCCACTGAATTAAAGAGAAACCCACAATACCATTATCTGCATAAAATTAAAACTTCAACTAGTAGAAGGGAAATTTCTTCCTTATGCTAGAGTCTCAAACAATAAATGTAGAAGGAATGGAGATGGAAGTAGAAAATGCAGTATTGGGCAAACACCAGACTTGTAACTATTGTAAGTTAAAATCATTAACTGATATTAAGTTAGAGGGTGAAAGTAGCATGATGAACAGGACACTAACTGATGTCTTAACCAGAGGTATTTTAAGCAACAAGGTGACACCATCAACAATGGGACAGACTGACGTTATGCGCCTTGATACGATGCAGAGAAGGGTGCATGTCACTTCTGTGAGATTCCTGCCCAAAAGCCATGACCTCAATTTAATCATGATACAACATTAAAAAGAGAAAAGCAAGGGGCATTCTATAAGCTAATCCACTTTCTTCAAAAGTGTCAAAGCTGTGGGACAGACACACACACACACACGCTCACACACTCTGGTGAAACGTTCCAGAATAAATAAGGCCAGAGAGACACAATAAATCAGTCTCCCATGTGATTTGGACTATATTTTGGACTAGTAAAGAGACATGGATAGGATAACTGATAAAATCTGAATGAAGTCTCCGAGCTAAATGTGATTGAACCAGTTTTTAACTTCCTGGTTTTGGTGAGTGACTGTGGTTTCGTAGATGTTAACCTTTGGAGAAAGTAGGTGAAGGAACTCTTTAAGGGAAGTCTTTGCACTATTTTTGCAACTCTTAGGTCTAGGATTACTTGAAAATTAAAACTTCAAATAATTAAAAAAATCCTCAACCTAGAACAAGTTCTGATACATAACAGATATACAATAAATTATTTAATAAATAAGTCACAGAGCATGGGAGAGGTGCCATTTCTATGCGGTCATCCTTGATTGGCTTCCTTCTATAGTTGACCTTTGCAGACCTACAGGAAATGAGGCAGCAGTCCAGGAAAGGACGGGCACCCCCAGAGAGGGCACGGCATGGGACCAAGCGTGTAACATTCACAGAATGTTGGGGGTGGCCGGGGGGGCGGGGCAGGGAATTGGCAGGCAGTGACGGTTGCTAATGGGCTCTCTTGAAAGTCGAAGACACTACACTGGCTGTTAGTGGAGGACAAGCACACAGGACAGGGGTAATGTAGGGTTGGAGGCAGTGGTTCAAAGATAAAGGTGTGATGCTACAGACAAGAACTACAGGCAAAGCATAGCTCAGGCGAGGGCGTGGTATGCTTAATGAAGGCTGCTGTGATTGGAGGAGCTACATTTAGGAAAAAGAGGCTTGAAGTGGGGAGTTAATTCCCTCTAGGCCCTGTCTGACTCACCCAGGCCAGCAGCGTCTCCTTCTCAGCCACGTGGTAAATGAGGCGCAGCGGTCTGGAGGCGCTGTGCAGGCGAGCGTGCAGGCGGTGGTACAGGTCCGACAGCCGCTGCCGCTCCTCCTCTCTACTGTATGGGGCTTCTAGCTCAGGGCTGCCGCGGAGGGAGTGGAGGACAAGGTTAGTCATGGGCCTACTTGGCTGACCCAGCTTCTCTGTCTAGGGATTTTAACTCAGTTACAGAGCTGGGCCTTTCCTGAGGATTCTTAGTGACTACAAGCAAGGCTTCCCCCATCAAAGTAAGGGACTTCCTGAGTATGGTGTTCTCTCCGCTAAAGCAGGGGCTCCTTACGTTGGCAGCTGAGCCTCTGTCATCAGAGAACTGTTCTGGTCATTCTTTCAAGAACATGACTGGGTATCTTGTCTACGTCCTATCCACAGGATGCTGACCCTCCTGGTTAGAAATTCCTACCGGGGAAACTGCTCGCAGGGTCTGGGCCCACCTGGTAAACTGGGGCAGCTGGCGATGATGGTCAGGGATGTCCAGTGGCTTATAGAGGAAGTGCCGGAGGCCAGGTGCCCCCACAGCCTGCACGCTGTAGGCAGGGGCGCTGGCCGCCTGGGCACTGGAGAAGTTGGCAGCCTCCCCAAGGGCACGCAGGGCGCCGAGAGTGCGCATCCCATCTTCCACCAGGCGCCGGCAGGCGGCCATGGCATGAAAGGCTTCGCGTTGGGTGCCAAGCAGCAGCAGGCAGACAGGCATGGAGTCCAGGCGGGCAACATAAGCGTAGAAGAAACCATCGGGGTTGAAGCGGGGCAGGCACACAGGTGCCCACGCCTCACCCGCTGCAAAGGCTGGTGCCCCCACCCAGTCGAGCAACAGCTGCAGGTCAGCCGGGTCCAGCCGGCACTCGGCCAGCACGTTCCGTTCCTGGGCTGCTGTTATCAGTCGGCCACCGACTGCCAGCACGGACAGTGCCAGGCCAGGTGCTGTGCAGCGCCGCAGCAGCGTGCCTAGTGCTTCCCGCAGCGGGCGGGCAAGCGGCACGCAGCGCACGGCGCCCAGGAGCAAGGCTCCAGGGTCTCGCTCCACGTTGTCCAGAAGCCGGTCCAGCGTGCGCTCTGAGCCAGCCAGCAGGCGGCGGAGGTCGTAGTTCTGCTTGTGTGCGAAGATGCGGGCCACGCTTGCACGCGTCAGTGTGCTCACAATCTGTGCGTGCACGGCTAGTAGCTCCCCTCGGAGCTGGGCTGCTGATTGAGGAGTCCGTGACATGGCCACCAGAAGCAGGGGGCCCTGCTGTAGGAACACCAGCTTGTGGTCCTCTGGAGGAGGGCAGGGGTAGAGATGGATCAGGAGCGACCCAACGCACGCACCACGCCTGGCCCAATCCATTGCACCACTCTGGCACCCGGACTAGGGCAAGGACAAACACTGTAGGGGAGTACAGACACTGTAGAGTCACAATGGGATGTTAAGGGACAGCATGGAGTGGGGATGGTGGGGACAGTGACATAGAGCAAAGACTGACACAGAGCTAGGACACCCAGCTCAGCCCACAGCCCCTAAAGCCACGACAATGGAGCATCTAGCTAATTACTCAGATTCCAGTCCCTCAGAACCCAGCAGGCTAAACAGAGAAGGACAGACCCCACACACAGTCAGACCTCTGGCTGGCTCACCTTAGGTTGGCTGGCTGGTGCCTTGGGTAGCAGGCAGGCAGAGAGACACACCCACCCATGGCTGGCCAGCCTGCCATATTCCTGGTCAGGTCCCCATTCTGCTTCCCACCCCTTTGCTCACCGGCATAGATGGCGCGGATGTTATCGCCTGCGCTCTGCACGAAGGACACCAGGGCTGTCATCACACCCATGGTAGCTGACAATGCCTCCACGCTACCGTACCGCGAGTAGATGGGCTTGCCAGCCTCGCTCAGCACGAACACGTGCTTCCTCTGGTTGCGCCAGTCCTCGTCACTGGGGTCCCCGGCCTGGCCCCCAGAGCCACTCTCTGGACCATGAACGGGACTACTGTCTGAGGCTGCAGAACTCCAGTGTTCACGGGTGCTTGAGGGGACCTCTGCCTGGGGCAGTGGTGACAGGCGGCTGGGAGGCTCATCCTTGCCTTCAGATCCTAAAAGGGAGCCCTTGGTGCGTTACCGGTCTGTAGACCCCACTAACCACATGAGGCTCCCAAGGACCCACCAAGCCCTTACCCACCTCCCTGCAACTTCTGTGTGCTGACGAAGACCTCTGAGTGTCTCCCTTGCTGCTCAGTGACCAGTGACTCCCCGTGGGAGGACTGGGGCCTCTCTAATGATATCTACTAAGTTCCCACGATCCCCTTAAAACCCAAATAACCCTGTTCAATTTTATTTTAACCAGTAGATTCTCTATATCCCTGTGTCACTTATTCCCTTTCAGCTGCCATTTCCAAGTCTTCAAAGCATCACTGTCTCTCAGTGACCATTAATAGCATCGCGGGTGCCCCATTAACTCCTCTGCTCCATTATTTATTCTCCTGGTATCTACTCTCCTCTCACCATTAACACCTACTGATATCTGATCTCCACATGCACTAACTCCCCAACCTTTCATTCTCATGGGTGCCTACTGATCTCTGACTCCTTCTGACTTTCTCAGCAAACTATTTATACTTTGAATGATGTTCATTAGTTTATTAATTCTCCCAGTGGCTATCATTAATATCCACTAACAAGCTAGGTACATGGAAGCAGGAGGATTGCAACTGTGAGTCCAGGCTTGGCAACTCAGTAAGACCCTGTCTCAAAATAAAAAACATACACACACACACACACAAAAGAGGGAGGAGGCTGAGGTTTTAGGTTCAGTGTCTCATACTGGGGGACAAAAAAAGCCATTGACACCCAGGTGTTCAGGACTCTCCTAACCCCTTATTCACTTCCTCTATTTACTTCCACTAAGATATTAACACCTTCCCAAGGACACCTCATGTGTCACTAAACCACTAATATGTGTGTCTTCAAGGACTCTCAATGACTGCCCCCACCAACAAATTATTTTACCCTATGACTGATCTTCAACAATGTAAATTCCGGGTGCCCACCAATCCTCACTGATCCCCTTTTCTATCACAATGACTTTACACCCAATTCCCACATCCACTTCTTTCACGCCAATGGCCACCATGAACCTCCCTTAATAAGGACTTTTCAAGACCCACACTGAAGTTCTCCATAACCATTAACATTCACTAAGCCACAAGCTTAGTGACTCCTCCTGCATGCTGACACACAGTTATTCCCACTGCTGTCCACTGACTCACCCAAGGACAACCATTATCCATTTGCAGCTATATCTCTAATTTTCCCATAAAATCTCAGGGATCTCATTTTCTTTCAATGGCATTCAGTGACATCCCCTTATCTCCAAATACCAACTACCCCTCCTAATAACTGCCAGTACCTGCCAGAGATTCCAAAGTCCTAAAAGATCCCACCCATTTACCGTCAGTGATGTCTGCTGACATTGCCCAGTGACCCCATTAAGATCCACGAATTCTAAAATAACTAATAAGCAGTGTTTCCCAGTGACTTCCACTGATTCCCCAGTAACACCTTTGCACATCCACTATCTGGTGTTACACGCCACTCCCCAGCAAAACGATCACCTCTCTCCAAATCTCACCGATCTTCTTATCGCACTGATTACCATTAACACACACTAGCATTTGATTCCTTCACGACCCCAACAACCCTCTACTCATTCTTCAATAATGTAGGCACTGAGCGCTCAGTAGTCCCCACTGATCTCTTTTCCTATCGCAATGATTTTACACCCCAGTGCCCCCAAACACTAACTTCTAAATAGTTCCTCCTTTGACTTTACTCGTGTTCATTAACTTAAATACCCCAAACCCCCCAGGGCCCTCTCTGACACCAGCTGGGCCCTTTCTGATCCTCACTCACCTGAACTCACACCAAATACATTCTGGTTTTCCCAGAACTGAGAGGTTTCTGAGGATAAATGTTCATCCACTGCTAGAATGGATATATGCCTGGAAAAACAGGGATGGTCCCTCTCCCTGCCCCTGATCCTTCACATCCATCTGCCCAGTACCACGGAACTGCCCTTGGTGACACCAGCTGATACCTACTGACTTCATCTGTCAATGATTTAAACTATACCAGCGAGTCTACCATTTCCTCCTGCTGACTTAACTGTGCTTCAAGCTACTTCCCCGAGTCCCCAAACTCCTCACCGATCTTCCATTAATCCTCCTTCTCCCTCGCCCAGCGCAACCTCCCTCACACCCGGATTCCCTCCAAGACCCTAGCCAGGGCGGCCTATACCTGTTTCCTCCGGGTCCGCGTCTCCGGGATCCGGCGGGCCCGACCGAACTCCACGATCTCCAGCCTCCTCGCCTGGGAACTGCGTGCCCTCCAAGTCCTGCGTGTCCTCCAAGTCCTGCGCGCCCCCGGGAGCCGGGGCAGCAGCGTCTCCGCCGGCCTCCATCTGCACATCCCTGGGGGGAAGGGGAATCGAGGGTGACAGGCAGCCAAAGAAACTTCTCAGCAGCCTCTACAGCGCCAGGCCCCCTGGACACATGCCCAGGGCTTGTTTCCCCCACGGCTTTCAACGGGATGAAACATCCACAGTCGTGTCCAAATACTTGCAGCCTCCGGCACTTTCCGCAGAGAGGCTGCAGCGGCCTGAGGAAACAAACACACAGAAACACCTGTTCCCAGCCCTGTATCTCAGCCGGTCCGACTCCCGGAGCCCAGGCAGCACCACACTTCCGGGTGCCGCCGCGGTTCGGCCACACTTCCGGAAACGACGCCTCACAGAAGACACTTCCGGTTACAGAGCTCCAGTCGCTCCCCACGACACCTCTCTCCCACCTTCTACTGGTGTTCCCCCACCGTTACGATGGCGCGCGCCTCTCCAGGATCTACTTCGGATCAAGTCTGGAACCCAGGACAGGACTTCTGTACTGTCCCAAGGAACCGGCTGCAGCACCGAAGCAGGGCGGGAGCTGCCCACGTCTCTCGCTGTGCCTGCCGGCGTCAGGGGGGTGCGGCCCGTTCAGCCAATCCTGGCGTATAGAGGGCGGGCCTTTCTGCCTCTGGCCCAATCCGGAGGAGTCCGTTGCCTTCCGCCAGCCCAGTCCAAAACGTATCCTACTTGGCATCGGCTGATGATATCTCCCTGGACCCACTGAAGGGGTCTCTGTCCTCACATGAGGACTTTTACAGCCTGTTATGGATACAGCCGGTCCAAAAATGGCCCCACAAGTGAGGCTGGGAACAGGTAGTTTCACTCTTTATCTGCCAAAAAAGGCTGGAATGGGGTAAGATTCGGTGGGTTGGAGCGGATGCTTGAGTAGCAGTGTTTGTGTCCAATCGGAGTGTGGCGCGCAGTCTGCTCAGCCTATAAGACTCTGTTCCTAAAGTAAGAGGCGGGCCTCGGAAATGGGAGTTACTCGTGGGTCTCTGTAATCGTCAGCCGAAGGGCTCGACGGCCCGGACATCCTTGGGGCACCCGAGAATGGCGCTGGGAAAACAAAGGTGCAGGATGGACAGTGTTTATCCAGACGAGCGAAAGTCCTCCCTGACGGCCCTTGCCTCCATGGGATCTGTGGCGGAACCATGCAGATTACGCTTCTAGGCCTAAAGGGGAGGGGTGCGCTGGTGGGCGCGGCTTTGAGGGCCTTCTACGTCTTCGTTGGTTGACGACGGCGCCGCACCGCCCCCTGCGCAGCACTATTGGCTAACTGG